AAGAGAGGGAGAGCGGTTAGGAACGGTCACACACACAGTGTGGAGATAAACATGAAGTACAGGGGACTCCGGCAGGACTAACTATTACAGCATAACTAAAAGGAGAACCAGAGGGAGACAAAGACGTGAGAGATCCCTGGTGTGCAAAGCTCACAGTCACTCTCACCGCCAACAAACCTGAGTGACCAGTGAGAGTGATTTGTTGGTACCTTGAATAGTGAAGGCTACAGCAGGGGGTAGGGCTTTCTCTTACAAAGCCCCACAGTTATGGAACAGCCTTCCATTTAGTGCTCGGGACTCAGACGCAGTCTCAGTGTTTAAGTCTAGGCTGAAAACATATTTGTTTAGTCAAGCCTGAATATTATTTCTTAGGTAAAGGAACAGATCTGGAGGGTTCATGGGCATAGAGTGTTGTGGTGATGAGGATGGGCTCCCTTTTGAGTTTGGTTTCTCTTAAGGTTTTTTCCTCACCACCCTCGCCTCTGGCTTGCTCATTAAGGATAAATGCTTACATTTACAGTTTAGATCCTGAATGTATTTATATCTGTAAAGCTGCTTTGTGACAATGTCCATTGTTAAAAGTGCTATACAAATAAAATTGAATTGAATTGAATTGAATCGTTCACGAAAGAACTGCAGTGCAGTAACACAACAGCGAGGCAAAAATAGACACAATTTATCAGTAATAAAGCAGAAATGAGATGTCTAATAAGTGGATATCATTTTTTTAATATGAGGCATTACTTTTTAATTCTGAATTCTAACTTCCTTTGTGAATTCTTTACAGTACAGTAAATGTCAGCAAGCTCAGCTTGTAGTTTTGTGAACTGCTGGCATTTTGATAATGAAAGGAGACATATGATGGTATGAAGAGGGGACACAAGATACAAATGCTCAGGAAAGCAATTTTTGTTAGTAATTAGACAGTAGTGGTAGTGAAAGGTCAAATGTCTAACAGAAACTTCATCTATGGGCTGTCTGTTGATTCCCTGATGAGCTCCGAAGGGCCCCTCTGAAGGTTTCAGTCATTAAGAGTGCAATTTAACTACATTGTTTGAAGCCCAAGCTTGCGTTCTGTCCATTGCAGAATTACTAGAACATGTGTAAACAAGGACAAGTGTCACAAATTAATGTTACAAAGAAAATATCTCGTTTCTTCTCATTAGTTATTTCAACTCTCTGCGTTTCCTTGTGTCAGTGCTGTAAGTCTTGATGTCTTGTTTATTATCAGAAGCAAATTTTAAACCTTTGTGTTATTTCTTATTTCTGGGTTAATTAATCCAAGATATAATGACGTATGGAAAACTGACTAATCATCATAATTCCAAACAGGCTAATTCAGCTCTTTTCTGAGTTTTTTTATATATCTGCACTCATGAAAAGCACAATCTAGACCTTGTTTACACCAACATTCACAATGCTTACAAGGCTGCACCCCGCCTCACCTCAGCTGCTAGGACCACATCTCTGTTATGCTAATCCCACCATACAGACCACTTCTCAAACAGGTGAGAACCTGGTCTGAGAGAGCCATCTCAGCATTTCAGGACTGTTTTGAGCACACAGACTGGAATATGTTCAGAGAGTATGCTATATACAACCACACTACAGACTTGGAGGAATACACAGCATCAGTGACTGGCTACAGTCAGCAAGAACATAGATGATGTGACTTCCTTCAAGACTGTCACCACATGTGCAAACCAGAAACCATGGATGACTGCTGAAGTACTTGCTACTGAAAACCTGAGACACAGCCTTCAGGTCTGAAGACAAGGCAGCCTTCCGCACAGAGAGGTCCAATCTGTCTGTCAGAGAGGCGAAGAGCAACTATGCAGAAAAGAATTCATGGTCACTACCTAAACACCAAGGACATGCGGTGTATGTGGCAAGGTATCCAGGTCATCATGGAGTACAAAGCTTCACATGTCTGTGCTGGTGATGCCTCAATCACAGACGCACAAATGATTTCTGTGCATGGTTTGAAGCACAGAACAACATGCGAGTGGTAAAGACCTCCCTAAATTCCACCGACCAAATACTCTCTGCATACAGGGGACATCAGGAAAACTCTCTCCCAAGTTAACCCAGGGAAAGCTGCTGGTCCTGACATAATACCTGGTCAGGTGCTCAGTGAGTGTGCTGATCAGCTTACAGCCATCCTTTGGGGACAGGCGTGGCCTAATGGTTAGAGAGTCAGAATTATAATCTGAAGGTCATGGGTTCGTGTCTCAGGTCTGGCAGGGATTGTAGGTGGGGGGAGTGAATAACCAGCGCTCTCTTCCACATGTTGGGCAAAATGGCTGAGTGGTTTCAGACTTTATCTGAGTGCTGCTGGCATGGAAGATAATAGTCAAAAATGTGGTTCAGATGTGCAAGACATATTTGAGATGATGGAGGATGATAAAGATTTGATGCAGCATTGAGTAAACTGAATGAGAATTTTACTCCTCAAGAGACGTATATTTCAGCATGCTGTACAAGAGCATGGTGAATGTGTGGATTCATTTGTAAGCAGATTAAAGCAATTGGCCATGTGTTGTGACTTTGGTGATCACAAAGAAAATTTTATTCATGATCAGGTAATTGACAAATTCACTTCCACTGCACTTAGGAGACAACTGTTGTGTGAAAAAGATCTCACATTGTCTAGTTTGCAAGACATTGCAAGAACTGCAGGAATGGAAGCTGCAGATCAACAAGCTGCAAAAATGGAGAGACCCTCTATTAATGCGGTTGGGAAGTGTAAATACATGCAACTAAATACATGTTCTGCTAACAAAGCATCACAACCAAATTACAAGTTCTCTGAATCTACACAACAAAGCTCAAAGTTTGCATGTCCATTAACATGCTGCCGTTGTAGTCGCCCTGGACATCATGGGTTGAATGTGTACCATTATAAAAGGAAAGCAATGCCATTCCTGTGGCAAAGAGGTCCATTTCCCAGCAGTCTGCTGTACAAAAACAGACTTCAAATTGAATCAAGTGACAAATAAGTTCCCACATGACAAAATGTCAGGAGATATCACAGTCAGTGATGAGGCCAAATTTTGTGTGGTGAGGAAAATGAAGCTGAAATGACAATAACATTGAATGGCATGCCAGTGACCATGTTAATAGACTCTGAAGCTAGCTGTAACATCTTTGGCTCAAATGTGTTTCATGCATTGCAAAACATGTAACATGCAGTTAAAGAGTACATCTAAACGGCTGTATGCATACAGGTCAGACACACCACTGACAGTAAAAGCCTGCCAGTAGAGTTAAAGGTGTCAGGGCAGATTTTCTCGTTGTGAATGGTGCACAGACAGAGCAGTGCTGGGTCAGAAAACTGCTATTGCCCTTGGATTTACCCACCAAACATCAGTGCACTCTAAAGATGCTGACACATTTACAAGTACATCGCAACAGAAACATAAGGTGTGTTTTGAAGGTCTGGGGAAACTGAAAGACTACCAACTAGAATTGCATGTTGACTGTACCATCATTCCGGTTTCCACTTCACTGACTGCTGTTTAGAGTAAGAGAGCTGGCTGAAGCCAAACTATAACAGCTGGAGGAAATGGATGTCATTTGAGAAAGTAGAAGGGCCAACCCCATGGGTCTCACCACTTGTGGTGGTACACAAAAAGAGGGGGAGACATCAGGATTTGTGTAGATATGTGCAAATGAGTCAGTGAGGCTGTTGGACTTGAATGACACCCCATTCCCACCTTTGATGAGATACTGGAAGACATGACTGGAGCTAAAGTGTTTTCCAAACTGGACTTAAAGTGTACCAGCATATTATACTTAAAGTGCTTCAGGGCATAAATGGGGTTCACAGCATCTCAGACAACATTGTCGTGTTTGGAAAGAATGTGCAGGAACAGGATGCTCGTTTACACTAAGTGCTGCAGTGTTAAATTGACATTAAATTGTGAGAAATGTGTTTTTACAATGAGTGAAATGGAATTCATAGGGCATGTACTTTCCAAAAATGGAATTGGAGCAGCACAGTCCAAAGTGTAAGCAGTGCAAAACACACGACAGCCCACATATGCTATGGAAGTCAGGAGTTTCCTTGGCCTTATGAATTACTGTGCATGTTTCATCCCCAACCTGGCTACTGTGCCTTGGCTACTAGAGCCACTAAAGGGACTCAGTATGTCTTCACGCACCTGGTCATGGAATGAGGAACAAGAATCTGCTTTCAATGCTCTTAAATCCGCACTAGCAAGTTCACACCATGGCATATTACAGCCAAGAGGCTGATACACGGGTGATTGTGGATGCCAGCTCAGTTGGGCTCGGAGTGATCCTGAGTCAAAAACAAGCTGATGGTTTGTTCAAACCAGTTTACTATGCAAGTTGAGCCTTGACAGTTGTATAAAGGCATTATTCCCAAACAGAAAGGGAGGCCCTAGCCATAGTGTGGGCTTGTGAAAAGTTTCATGTTTTCCTCTATGGCAAGGAATTTGTGACGATCACTGGTCATAAAATTCAAATTCAGTTTTATTTGTATAGCGCTTTTAACAATGAACATTGTCACAAAGCAGCTTTACAGAAATAAATGGATTAACAAAAAATATATTATAAATATTTGAATTTATCACTGTGAATTTTTCCCTAATGAGCAAGCCAGTGGCGACGGTGGCGACGGTGGCAAGGAAAAACTCCCTGAGATGATATGAGGAAGAAACCTTGAGAGGAACCAGGCTCAAAAGGGAACCCATCCTCATCTGGGTGCAACAGATGGTGCGATTAAATAAATAAATCCCTTCTATTATTGTGCGCTATAAGGACAAGTAGTGCAATTGTGCAACCCACAAATTCATCACAGTTTCCGCAAGAAGTCCGGTTGGTTAAAATCTATCCACTGTCCACTGATGGAGTCCTGAGCCACTGGAGGTGATATATTCACCCAGATCGAAACCACTTGTCATGATTGAAGTGAAGTGACGTGTAGCCAAGTATGGTGACCCATGCTCGGAATTTGTGCTCTTCATTCAACCCATCCAAGTGCACACACATAGTAGTGAACACACACCCGGAGCAGTGGGAAGCCTTTTTTGCTGCAGTGCCCGGGGAGCAGTTGGGGGTTCGGTGCCTTGCTCAAGGGTCTCACCTCAGTCGTGGTATTGAGGGTGGAAGAGAGCGCTGGTCATTCACTCCCCCCACCTACAATCCCTGCCGGACCTGAGACTTGAACCCATGACCTTCAGGTTCACCTTCGGGTTACAAGTCCGACTCTCTAACAATGGGCGCTAAGGCTGCAACCCTATAGATTCAAAGTGGTCTACAAGCATAGCCTGCAAAATGTTGCAGATTCACTCTCACACCTTGCCAGGAATCCACCTCTAGCCACAGCATGTGATGATGACCACATCTACTTTGTTGCAAAGCATGCAGAGAGGACGGAGAGTGCACTCTGAGGACGGATATCCAGCAGAGTTGTTGGAATCTTTGTAGTCCTGAATACAAGCACATCATAGATGAACTGTTCTGCATTGGCCATTTGATTCTAAGGGGCAACTGCATAATTATTCCCCATGCAGCCTGAAAACAGACTTTGTTGTTGGCCCATGAGGGGCATCTGGATATTGTTAAGACGAAACAAAAGTTTACATCCAGTGATTTTCGAGAGTTCTTGGCAGTCAGTGGAGTTCGTCACAGACGTGTCACACCATGTTGGCCCCAAGCAAACTGTGAAGTGGAATGACAAAGTAGAACTTTGTGTCAGGCCATATGTGCAGCTTATTCTGAAGGTAAAGACTGGTGCAAAGAAATGTACACTTTTCTGTTAGCTTACAGAAGCACACTACACTCTGTTACAGGCCGCAGACCTTTTGAGTTGCTATTCAACTGCCAGCTCCGTAAAATTTGGCAGAGGTGCCAGCCATCAGTCCACCTGCAGTGAGTGACACCGTAGTAAGATTCCATGATATTAAGGGATTATGTTAGGTAGGCAGTTGACAAAATGGAGCAGATTAATCTCCAGCACTGTCTTGGTGGCAGGATAGTTTTGCATTTAGATTGCTAAATTACTGGTTCATTTGTCCAAAGTGTAAAATATTAGTGTTAAATTTGTTTTAGATTTGAATGTTGACCTGTTATATTCCATTTTCAGGTTTTTCTAAGAGCACTGGGTTTTTTGTTGTTTTCAAACATAAATTCTGCTGTTGAAATTGGTAGAAGCAAGGGAGTCTTTTTTTGTTCCCCCTTAGGGGTAAAATGAGGAACAAAAAGGGGAGGTGTTACAGAACTGTGACCGGGAGAAGTGATGTGTATGCAATGAGGAAGTAGTTATAAAATTTTGACCAGTGTGGTCTGGGCTATGGTCCAGAAGTCTGGAAATGCACGAATGGTACGGAAGCCTGAAAGGGCCAATACAAGTAAGGAAATCATAATGCTTGTGTAAGAATTAACTGCTTGACATTGTGCCCACATCTTGGCTTTTTTTTCTTGTCTAAAGAACCGTGCACATCCTTTATTTTAAGTAGGTGTAGTTCAGTCTCTGCTCAGTCCTCCTACGATTATGCTGTGGGTAACATGCTAATTGTCCAACTAATTGCTAATTGCCAACTGACATGCTAATTGAAATGCTAATTGTCCAATTGTCCAGCATAATCCCCATGCTAATGCACAATTAAAAAGTCTATCCATAAGTAGACTTATATATTCTATATTAGAACAAGTGCATTAATATAAACCTGTGATTTGCAGCACCGCTGTCAGAGGTACTGTTATAGACAACTAATCAACACCTTCTGACCAATCAGAATCAAGAGTGGAAAAAACCTGTTATATAAGGTCACTATGGAGTCATAGATACATATCTATACCATGTTCACTCCTTTCACACCTCATATAAAGCACAGAACCAAGACTGAACCATTTATTCTTAGGTATAAATAGATTTATGGGACTTTCTTCCCATAATGGAACCAATCAGAGGAGTAGTGTCATTGTAAAGAGCTCAACACTTTTCTAACTCATTAACTGTTGTTTGGGAATGTGAGATAGGCTTCATTAAAAGTTTGAACACCTGTAGCGGTGACATTTAGGCTGAAAACCTGGCAGTAATTATTCTCTCACTTTTGGAATGAACAACAAGCTCAAATCAAGGTTCAAGCCGAATATAAAATCCTTAGAAGCTCAGGATGGGGGGGCATACCCTCTCTCCTTTGTCAATTAGAGCTACGCTAGCCAATCGTGGGTATCTGTGAGCTCATGAATGTAGAAGAGGGTGGATAATGCT